TACTTATTTATATTAAGCTTTGAAGTGTTTATTTCCAAAAGAGGTACAGTGCGCAAAAAAAAAAAAAAAAAAAAACAGCAAACAAACGATTATGGATATCTTTTGATCTAATGGTCGGATCTTCACATTCTAGGACTCAATTTTGAATGGTTCAAGGAGAGGGACATTAAATATGCTAATTAATTAGTGTAAATGATAATTTGTTGCGAAATCAGGCTCAAGAACATACTTTCTCTGAATAAACATACGCTTTTTCAACGGATTTGGATTTCTGACCCCCTAAAATATAAGAGGAGACCGCAATCTGAGGAATATAGTCCCAGTAATTTTGTAATGAAAGCAGTCCAGATCTTGGGCCCCTTTAAAGAAGTAAGATATTTAAATTTAAATTTCTCAGGAACTATTCGATTGATTTCGCTCAAACTTCGTATTTTACCATATAAAATGATGTAAAAAAATATAGACTTAACAGTTCAAAGTTTTTTCGAATATATATATATATTNTATATATATATATATATTATTTGAGATTAAAATGAGAGAATCGGGCATTAATTGGTCAATCGTAACAACTTTAAAAACAAACGAACAAACTGTAAATGAAATAATTAATTGAGTAAAAACCACTGGAATACAATGCTATACACTAATTGTAAAGCCAACAAATTGTTATATGAAAGTATTTTTACTCTTTTTTTCATAAGAAAAGTTGAATGTTTTTCAAAATATATTTTTAAAATTATTCTATGAGTAAAGCAATTTCATTTACTTTAAGAGTTGCAGTTATTTTTAAGATTTATAATAAATCTTTTTGTTTTGTTTTAAATATGAACGTTAGATTTCGTAGAAAATACTTACTTTTTATTAATTTAAACCTAAAAAGAACGTAATCGTCTTCATTTAAACATGATAAATGAATGCGTTTGCATAATTTATTATCGAAGCAAAAGTTTAAAAATTTTACTCAGAATTTTGTCAAACTGTCACCACTAACTCTATTACCATCGTATGAATTTAAACATTTATTGCATTATCTGCCTAAAAGGAAAGTGATTAGAAAAATTCTTTCATGATTTGCAAAATTTTATGACCCATAAAGTAACTTTAACATCTTCTGTTCTTCTTGCAAAACGTTTTTTTCTTCAAAACTTATTAGTTTCAAATTATTGTTCGTTAGTCTCTAAAATATGAAAAACGCATGAATTATGTGCTTAAAACTTCGAAAAGATGGCGAAGCAATTATCGGTTGCAAAAAAATCTAAGCACTAATGTTTTATTATGGCACATGTTGCGGCTATTAAACTAAAGCTACTTTAACTGAAAGATGTTATTGCTACTTTTTTAGAAAGATATACGAGTTATTAAACTGCTCGCCATAAAATAATACATCGTCTGCTTTTTTTTGTTTTGAGAAAGTGAACTTTCATTTTCTTACTTTTCAGACGATTTTAGAAACGATAAAAATATTTTGGTATCTTCGGCTCTGTTTATAACGTGATATTTTATGGAATTTTCGATGCATAAAATATAAATGATTGTAATTATCTATTAATTAAAGAATAAAGTTTAATAGAGGTTGAATAAATGTTTCACAGCTTGAATATGCTATTTCTCCTTTTTTCCATCTTTCTTATGAGAATCTTTCTTCTCCAAATGCGTATTTTCTAATTAGATAAATTAGACAAATTATATATTTCGTAATTTTCGGGTAATTAAAGTAATTTTCTTTTTATGGAAAGTTCGCCATTATTTTTATGCTATTCAGCAGTTTAATTTGAATTCTTTATTTCGTTAATTAAAAATTAATTATTAATTCGTTAGTTTTAAACTTAAAATCTTAAGAACATTTAAGATTCTTTTACTATGTCTAACGAAGATGTTTATTTTTCAATTTTTAAAACGATTCAATTTCTAAACACATTTTTAAAACGTTTCTAAAATGCATATATTATTTTGAATTTTTCATTCTGCTGTATTATTTACTAAGTCTACAAAAATATTCGTAAGTTTTTTTTTGAAGAGACACTTAGAACTTGATTTTAAAACTGCACACATTTTTTTTCTCAAAAAAACATGTTTGGAATGTTTGCCATAACATCTATTATTTAGTACAATTTGTGTTCACCATATATTTGTTATCTTTCAAAAATTAATAATTTTAAAAGTAGAAAATTAATAACTTTTACTAATGACTTTAATTATTAATTGAAAGTTATTATTATTTCAATTATTGATTAATTACTTGAAAATTAATATTTTTAATTTTAAACCAACGTTTCATTTTCATGATTAGTACCATTTTTTAAAATTAATATGTTAACACACAAATTATATCTTTGAATTTATTGTAGACAAATATTTTTAGCTCTTTTGTTTTATAATTATGGAAAAAAAAAGCATTCTTAGTTTCAATATAACTTTATACGAGGAAATTCATGGCGCAAAAAAAGTTAGTCTAATCTTAAGCTCTAAAGTAATTTTTGTTGCCATTCGTAAGAAAATAATTAAAATTAGTTCTAAATTGACAGAAGATCTCCTTAAGTACAGAAGAGGTTCATCTATACACGGAGAAAAATTTCTAGTAAAATTCCATACTGCATGGTAATGGCATTTGATGTAAAAAAAACACCTGATAATTCGTAATTTTTTCCATTCGCATGGTAATGGTTTACCAGAAACTTTGGTTTCCAAAGTTGTAGTTTTTATTACCACATATTTAGGTATCATGATAAAATTACCAAATTTTACCTCGTTTACCAGAGTTTATCACGTATTATGAAACTCTATTTTATTGTTAATTTTACCGAAACTATAACCAAAGAGCTTTGATAAAAATTGCTGACCTTTGCAGTGTTCCGGTAACCCAGTAAATTTTACAATATTCTGGTAATTTTGCCCACACTTTTCTTTCTCAGTGTACACGTCTTTATATTTTTAAGGAGTTGTATATGCAGTATGTTTGATATGATAGAGAGTAAAGGAGTTCGGTGTTTAAAATTTGTATCAAATTTATGTTTTTAGCAATTTTTAGTTAAGAAGCTCAGATTAGTTTCCTTTTAAAATTGCTTGAAGAATCTTCTTATTTCAATTCTAACCAGTTTTATTCATTGTTATTCAGGTTTGTTTTTTAAACTACTGTTAATTTTAGCGAATTTATTATTCATTAATATTATTTAAAATTTCATTAATTATTAGTAAATTACAATTATTAGTCAATGAATGCGTCCAGTAAAATTTTAATGACAGCAACTTTAACAGAACTGTGTTGTCCAGTATCAATAGACGGAAAAAAGAAAACGTAGAGAGAAAATGAACAAATAAAATTGATAAATAAGAAAAAAACAAGCTAAGTTTCTTGTAAATTTGCTTTAATCGGAATAGTTAACAAAAAAAGAGCAGCAGTACAAATTCAATGAGATCTAACATAACGGGTGGTATAAGTTATTTAAACAGTGCTAGAAAAAAAGCGGCTAATACAGAAGTTCAACGTTCCAAAGAAGGTAAAAGTTGTTCCGTAAAAGGTTGTTTGAATTTGTATTTCTTCCCGGTTCTCTTTGTTCTATTTGACGAGGAGCCAGGGGTGAAAGCAACTTTTAACAACATAATTTTTTTTTTAGAAAAAAAATACCTTGACAAATTGCCGGACTTGAAATGATTGTAGTTTTCAAACATTTTTTTCTAATTTTTTTCTTCTTTTTTTTGCGGAACTGAAATGAAAAAGATCTTAGAATAATGTATCAAAACGATAGTGGTCAATTTTTTTCTTGTAACAGTCAATTTTTTTCTTGCACGTTTATTTATGATCTCAAAAAGTTCTTAACTGTTCAATGAAATGGCTCTTAGCAATATTATTGATTTAAATCTTAAATGTCAGATTTTCAATTAAAGGGCATATACCTTTCTCAGTTTTAATTTTTTTTCTAACTTATGTGTACTCTTGACAATATTAGTATACTCGAACGTGTATATTCCTGAAGTATTCGAACATTTTTCTGGCTTATGCAATAAATATGAAAAAGTTATTCATTTAAGTAAAAATGTAGTTTTTTTTTTAGTTTTATAAAAAAAAATAGAACTGTCCCCAAATTAAAGCCTGTTGCTACTTAAAGAATTGTTAACAAAAATAATTTGCTATATTTTTTCTATGAAGTTCTTCTTAAATAATATGCTTGCTTTTCTTACTATATATATATATCTTATACCTTTCACAACTGTAAAAACTGCACTGTATTCCGGATCAAATTACGTTAAAAAGTAACAGCAGTCAGGGTACCGGTAAATTTTACAGTAAAATATTTTTTTTACCGGAATGCATTACGGAGCAAAAAAAATCTGACATACTGTAATTTTTACAGTTATAACTAACGTAAAATCTCTGAATTACTCAATTAAATTAAATATTACTGCAAAAAATTGTTGAAAAATATTTTACGGTAAAAATGTATTTTACGGTAAAATGGATTTAACAGATGATGCAGCCAACGTGCCGGTGCTTTATACCATAGTTTGATTTAAAATTTGTTACAATGTATGGCTGATAATATAATGCTTTATTTTCGAAATATTTTTTCGATCAATGCAAAATATTTTGCATTCTACGAGAGTCCCGACTAGATCGTTCAGGATCTAATTTTTTCAAATGCCTATTGTTCAAATATGCCAAAATTTAAAAAAAGAATAACAAAATTATAAATTAAAATTTCTAGTTATGAAAGTTTCAATGTGGTTGTTGGTTTTTCTTTCAAGTATTACCCAAATAATATTCTTCTCCACATGTTTAGAATTAAAAACCATTTCTTCGCCAACTTCATTCGCAATTATGAAAACTTTAGTTTTCGTCTGTTGATGCCAAAGAAAAATGACTTTAGACATGTAATAAATATAGTATCTTCTAAATATTACAGTATTTTTATAATGTCTTCATAAATAAAATTTCACATTTTATTTCTTAACTTTAATTATTGTGAATGCTCAACTTAAAATATTATTCAATGTTTCAGATTAAATTAACATGATAATTGAAGATAAATCCAGAAATGCCGATGGATACATGTCCAGTGAATGGGACTCAAGAAATTCCAAAAAAGTAAGAAATTATTTTTTAAAATAATAGATTTAAGATTAATTGATATATTCCAATAAAAAATTTAAGCATGAATAAATATTATATAACAAAATTATTACGATTTCAGATTACATTATAAATAGCAAGTCTGTTGCATAATTTTGTAAGTGTAAAAATATGTCATATTCTAGCGATGGTCTTTAATAGACAGAAAAATAGTCGTCACAAAAGAATCATGTGTAATAACTTCTGATATAATCACCTACTTTATGTAATCTTAATAGTCTAAGGGGATCAACTCAATTGCTTTAGTTAGAGAAGACGGTTAAAATTACGAAATCAGATATAAATGTATGTTTTTTTGAATAAAAATACTTGTTTAAATATGGGATTCCTAGGTTAGTACAGCTCTACACTTGGCGCTGGTCCTTGAACCCTTTTGCTCTTTTTTATAGGATAAGTGATAAACATGAAATACAACTTTTTTAGCGTCTATGACCCTCAATAATATGGGTACCACTAAGATTTCTCGAGTATCCGTAGAACTTTAAGGGTTTTCTTGTACTCGGAAAACACCTCACTATAAATGCATATTTGCCCGGCGAGTCTCCAAATCAACAGTTCTTGCAAATAAACTCGCAATCTCATTGCATTGATACCGACATGAGAAGGGATCAATTGGATGTGCACCTCCGAATGAACTGAAAGCATAATAAGCAAGCACAGGATGGATATTCCCGACTTATCCAAAGCATTTGTCATTTTGCTTAGATGTTGAACTGAAGAATGAATGTCAGTTATGGGACACAAACATCCACAAAATTAGGGTTAACGTTATTCGAAACATAGCTCAAGCCTCTTTTGATAGTGATAAACTCGGACCTGAACACAAAATACGAATTGGAATTAAGTCAATTGACTTTTATTAAGGCCCGGTGGTTCAGAGGATCAAGCTTCCGCCTCCCAATGATGTGCCCTAGGCTCAAATCCCAGCGATGGCTGTTTGATTTGAATTTTGCCCTCGGTTTGTACCGCCGTCCTGCCGTAAAGTATACTCAGTGGTAGACGGATCATGGATTAGAACCTCCTTGCCGTGAGCCGTGGTGGCTCAGGGGATAGAGAGGTTCGCCTTCCAATGCGGGGAACCGGGTTCGAATCCCATCGATTTCTGGTCAATGCGAATTCCAAGCCTGGCTCGCATCAACCACAGTGGTGACGTAAAATATCATCAGTGGTAGACGGATCATGGATTGGAGCCCCCTTGAGAGATTTACATAGTTTCCCTTTCGATGTAACGTAACTACAGGTTAGTTCCATCAAAAAGTCCTCCATGAAGGCTATTTTCTCTCAATTCAGAAGTTCCCTTGTCTTCTGGATTGGGTTCAAAATCATAAGACTATGGAGTTGAGCAGAGCAAAACAGAAATTGGGTAGGCTGTTCAGAGTAGATTATAAAATAAAAGAAAATGCAATCCCCTTGCTATCGGACTAACCTTGGGAGGTTTTATTTTTCATGTAATACAAATGCTGGTTAGTTCCATCAAAAAGTCTTCTCCGAAAGTTTGCTTTACCAAATGCTTGATCCAAGCTTGTTTCATGGATTTGGTTCAAAATTAAAAGACTACGGAACTGAGCACTGCTATTCGCAAAACCAGAATCGGGTCGTTTGTTCAACGCCGGGCATGAAATATGAAATAAAAGTAACGCTAATCACATTATTTTTTAAATTAATTACGCCAATTGAAAGAATTATCATACGTTTTTCTAACTTGTTTTCTCTAAAATAATTCCTTCCAAAATATTAATAATAATTTTTATTTGAAATTATAATAATTTCATTTATTTGAAATTATAATTATTTTCATTTGAAATAATTATAATTTCAAATAAATGAAATTCATTCAATTTTTCATTTGAAATTATAATTATTTAATATTTTTCCTATTTTAATTTAATAATGGTTCATAAATTATTTAAATTTTTCAATTTTTAATGCTATTATACTAATTTTTACTAATATACTAATTTTAATTACTACAATGTAATTATCAAGAAATCGCCCAAGTGGTGCCCTATTTTTTACCTTTTTTCTTTTTGAACTTATGGACTTGATATAATTTTTATAGATCAATTCATGGATTAGTATTAGCATTAAAATTATGTAAAGATATGTTGCTTGATTGAAGAAATAAAACTCGTGTTAAAAATATGAACATTTCCATACACGATACCATACGCAATAAAATAAAGCAAATTTTACAGAGTAAGGTCCTTTAAGAAGTTTTAACAAATATTTTATGCTAATTTAAATTGTTAAAATTTAAAATTGGAATGAATTGGATGAAATCAGTTGAATTGATGAACAAATATTCTAATATGACGTATCTACAATTCGATTTGGACCGACTTCATTTATATCTTAGATTTCAGTATTGAAGTTTAGATGCATAATTTTACACGATGCAAAAATTTATTATACCGAATTCAAAATGTTGTTGGATCTAAAATGAAAAAAAAAGTAATTATTTGAAATTATTTTGTGCATGAAGTTAACTTTGTTTAAACAAATTCTATGTTGTGTGCCTTCAATTTGCTCAATTAATTTTCGATATAGTAAACAATGCTAAATTTGAAAATGATATAGAGTTTAAACTTTCAGCTTATATTTCTGACAAAACTATTGAGATTACATGTTCTTTGAAAAAAAAGGTATATTTATTCAGAGAAAGTACACTCTTACATCTACAGATTATTGCCTGCATTATATGATAAGCATATTATGTAATGCATAATATCTCTCTAACCATTAAAATTTTGTCCTTTTTTCTTAACATACATATTTCATTCAGAAATGAAAGTTTAAGAAGTACATATTTCCTTAAAAATTAAGTATTATATATTTCCTTGTTTTAATGGAAAACTTTAAAAATATTAAAAACAAATTTTTTACACAGCAATGTTTATATCTATTTTTCGTATTCGATGATTGAAAAATGCGATACAAAAAATATTGAATAAATACATCATGGATGTAAATAGATTCAAGCTCAGATTTAGGCATGTTGGCTCCTGTACAAGGCAATCATGATCTGCGTTGAAAAAATTAGATTTTTATCATATTGTGAAAATTGATTATAAAATTACAAAAGCTTAGTGCTAATGAAGTTTTAATTTCGTGTTGTGAAGTTTTAATTACGTGTAAAATAACTACTGAATTTTGTAAATTTATTTTATATAAGTAGACATCAGCTGTCCCATTAAGGAATGCTTGGAAAAGTTAAAATTATTTAGCGTAATCCCTAAAGGAAAAGAAAACAGGAATTTACATAAAAAATTTGATAAATTAAGTTTTAGCATATTGTTAATGTAGTGATTTTTTTTAAAAGTTGATGACTGATTGGATTTTTCCATTCATATAACTCAATATGAGAAACTTCCTTTTTTATAAAAAAAAAAATTATTACTGGCCACGTTCTTTGCAAACATATTTGACCATGGGTATGCCCACCGAAATGAAAAAAAAAAATAACATAAAATTTTTCATTTCAATTTATAAAACTAATAATTTTCTTATTCAGTATACTTTGACATCAATTTATAACTGTCAATCAATCATCTTTATGCCTCCTTGTGCCACAGCAATCATTCTAAATGATACATCCCTTGCGGTCAGAGTTTTCTCTCCTATTTTGGAAGCATAAGTCACGCACCGTTGATTTCTTATTTAGAAAATGTACCGTTAACATTGCACTGAAAATAACCTTTTTTTTAATTCCCACCTCGGTTTACCTCTTTCATTATCTCAGTGGTAAATATATAACAATAAGATTCGATGGAGAAAAAAAATTGGTCTTCATCCCCAATAGTGCGATAACAAGTGAATATACCTAGAGTGCTTTTGCAATTTGGCCTCAAGCTGTAGGTTGCTTTCAATTGTTAGCAGTCACCAAAATTTTCAATAAGTGACAGCGAATTCAATGCAATTAAAAGCCTTTTTACGTTCGGTGGATAACCTCTTGGAATAAAGTGTTCGAATTTTGATCGTAAATTCTAAAGCTTTTTGGACAACATGCCTAGTTTTATGAAGCTAATTTCGATACTAAATTGAGGCTGCAATCAGGAACTTACCAAACTTTATCATTAAACTGTTCGATTTTTATTTCTATTTATAGTTCTACAAATATTTTGGAATAAAAAAATTGGCTCATATTTTTTTACCATAGTTGTTAAAACGTTTTGCTTGAAAACGATAACATTGCGTGATACGAAGAATGTAATGAACCAGCTGCACCCCAGCTGATAATGAAATAGAACAACAATAATAGATTATGAACTAGATTTTTAAACTAAAGTTATTGCTTGTATTAAATATATCGAATTGTCAGTGAAGATTATTGCAAAGTAGTTCAGAACATTATTTATGCATGATAGGCTATTTATTCTTTTATCTGTTTTTTCGAAATTTTTTTCATGTTGCAAAAGCTTATATGCATCAAAATTGTGCGTGGTGTGTTTTAAATCTAGTATTTTATATAAAAATTGATATTGTACGAAAATTAGAGATAATAGAAAATAAATGTATAAGAACGCGTTTCTAGCGACCACAAATTTGAATTATTTACTCAATTTTGGCACGCAATTTGGTATTTTAGAAAATTAGACCTATGTCATTAGTAATGGCAACAACTAGTTATAATGGTAATTAGTAGCTTGTTAATTATAGGTTAATGAATAGGTAATTAATAAAAAGGATAATAGATAGATAGTTATTTCAAAATAAATCATAATCCCTAATTCTCAATTCGCAACTTATCAATCCTCAATAATTATAATAGATGAATAGCTAGTTAATAAATAAAACCATATTTAAAACATTTTTTAACAGTAAAACTTTAAAGAAATTTTTTTTATTAAGGAAACGTGCTTAAAACATTAATTTTTTTCAAAATTAAAAACGCAAGTGACATTGTGCTTACTTCTTTGTGCAATATTCGAAAAAATTCAAGTTAGTTTTTATACATT